TTGAAATATTAGAATAATAATATTGCTCATTGAATTATGAAGTATATGATAGAGTATATATAGGAGAGATACTCCTAACACAACTAGGAATAGATAATGGAAACTAATTAACATACAACATCTACCACAAATAGGATTAGGAAGCTGACTAATAATAAAACACTACCATAACCAATACTACTAGAAATACTATTAGTATTATTATCCAACATCCCCCCTCAAGCTGAACTCTGGCTGAAGCAAGAGGAGGCTTGGACACTAGCTGCAACCTAGAAACTTTGAGAAGAGAGAAGTTTGACATGCGCCGGTGGCTGCTGACGTTGTTGAACAAGAGAGAAGCCTGACGTGCGCCACTGGCTGCTGACGTCGTTGGAGAAGAGAGAAGTTGACGTGCGCTAGTAGCTGCTGACGTCGATGAAGAAGAGAGAAGGTTGACGTGCGCTTGTAGCTGCTGACGTCGAAGAAGAATAGAGAAGGCTACTGGAGGTGCCTGTTTGACTGAAGATCCTTGACATTTTTTGTCTTTTTCTTGGATTCGGGCAATGCCCTATTTCCTTCTTGAAGGGGTGAGTTGTAGAGGTCTTATTTCCTCTTTCAGTACTTCCCCTCTTGGCTTTGCTTTTGTGCTGATTTACTTTGGATTTTTATTGGTTCAACAGAAGAGAAAGAGAAGGGAGGTTGAGGATTAGAATGAGTGATTTTAGAGAGAAAAAGTAGGTTAAGAGTTGGTGATGGAAAAAAAAATTGGGTTTGCGATTTTGATATGGTGAATTGGAGAGAAACAACAATCACTTTTTTCCTTTTTTTGAGAAGATAGGATGATCTGAGAGAGTTTGTTAGGAGTTGGGTTTTTTTTTTTTGAAGAATCATGGAGATGACAAGAGAGAAGTTCCTCCTTTCATAGTTTTTTTTTGTGTGATTTCAACAAGAGTTTTTATTTCTTTTTTTCATTTGAATGGAGAAGTTGATTTGAGGATAAAGAAGAAAAAAAATAGAGGTGAATAGGGTGGAGCCGCCGTCGCCGGAATTACCGGCGGCGGCGACGGAAGCAAAGAACTCTTTTAGGTCACCAAGAGCGGTGGCTCCGATACCA